CAAATGATACTACTACAAATGACTACAAAATGACAACATCTTAAGTGTATAGTCCGGGTTGAAACGCGTCTGTAGTATTCATCTGTTCGACGTTTCAGCTTCTGCTTTGAAGTCATTTTCAAGAACCACTTGAAACTGAAGTAACATTACTGAATAACGGGGTCGTAAACTTCCGGACACCCAAGTCCCGTCTCTGACTTTGTTCTTGTTTGATCATTTCCAAGTTCGGTTTCAGGAAGTATAATTCACATATAATGAGAATTGTTTGACAAATTGGATATATCCATCTATGAATTCCGTATATATAAATAAATCAATAAATTGATGGATGTAGCCGTTACATGGCAACAACTTGCCATGTTTATTTCGATACTTGACGCCATCATCCAAATAGTCCAAATTGTCAATGGGTAATGTATTGTCTTGCGGAACGACTTCCATGTTCTGATCGATGATCGGTAGATTCACTTCAATATGTAGCGTGCACATTGACGTCTTCCATCATTCCAAATGTTGACTTATCACGGAGAAGATATCGTCAATATGCTAATCAATAAGTTACCATTTGAATTACACTTACCTGGCTATCAGTATTGCGGTCCTGGTACGAAACTACAAGAACGTCTTGCACGAGGCGATCCTGGTATTAATCCACTAGACTCGGCTTGTAAACAACACGGCTTGGCATATTCGCAAGATACGTCTCTTGAAGCTAGACATCGAGCTGATAAAGCTCTCGAAGAAATGGCGTGGCAACGAGTGAAATCTAAAGACGCAACACTTGGCGAGAAGGCGAGCGCTCTATTCGTCACCGGAGTAATGAAGTCCAAACGGAAATTAGGAATGGGTGTGAAATCATTTCGACGCAGCATTTTGCAAAATATAATCAAAAACTGGAAGCCTACGACGAACGAGGTGAAAAAATCTGCGGCAACGGCTCTAAAGGCGGCACAAATGGCCGTCCATAAAGCTGGAGGACGTAAGAAGATATGTATACCGCGAGTTATTCCATTCGAAGCAAAATCTGGAGGGATCCTACCACTAATACTCATATATGCAGGCCTTTCAGCTTTGGGTTCGTTGGTAGGAGGAGCGAGCGCCATCGCAAAAACAGTGATAGATGCAAAAAATGCCAAAAAGAAACTCGAAGAAGATCAACGCCACAGTAAAGCTATGGAACATTTGGGTTCCGGTTTGTACTTGCGCAAAATACCTCGGGGATTTGGTCTGTTTCTGAAAAAACAACATCAACGCAAAGGACCAGGCCTCTACTTGCGGAAGCAACAAAAAAACTCCTGTTGAAGCTACCCCATAGAGCATTATATGATTCGGAAATTAAAAAGTGTGCCCATCAATTGAAAATACCACATTTTCGTGGAGTCTTTATGCGTGATGCGTTGCCAACGTGTGGTCCTTGGCCGCGAGAATGTGCTGTATTGAATTTGGATTCTCGATTGAATGAAGGCACTCATTGGGTAGCTTACATTGAAAACGGCAATGCTGTACAATATTTTGATAGTTTCGGTAATCTCAAACCTCCGATGGAATTGGTGAAACCGAACCAAATATAATTGCAGTCTCCGAAACGCAGATATTCTATACAAATGGCTTTGTGATATGTTACCAAAATAAAAATGTATAATAAATGTCTATTCGAAATGTTTTATTTATTTTTTCTACCTAACCTCAACACCTAATGATGGTGACAACGTTTTGAAATCTCTCCAAACCCCCAAATGCCCCGTTTGTTCGTTGCCCCTCACCCCCCCACTCCCCCATTTCCCAACTAACACGAAAAAACGCATCTGACGTATTTTGAAATGTCATTGCTGAATACCCCCATTGCCCCATTTTCGAACGTTTCCCATTGGGATCGCATGCTAAAACGTTAGGCCCCCAGCACCTGACATGTTTTTTCCTTAAATGAGACACCCTGTACACATTGAAGAATCACACGTCAAAACCATAGAGCTCGTTAAACTTTTTTTAAATGACGTATTTTGAGACACCCTGTACATAGTAACGTCATGTTTTTTTTTCAATCCGATTTTTCATTCATTCATTTCAGCCATTTTTTTTATTTAACGCCCGTGGCCATGTTTTTTATTCAATCTAATTTTTCGTTCATTATTATTATTATGCTACTATTTTCCACGCTGACATATTTGAGACACCCTGTACACGTTTTTTCTCAAACGATGAGACACCCTGTATGACAGACATGTTTTTTTCTTTAATGTCTGTGGCCATGTTTTTTCTTTAATCCGATTTTTCGTTCATTATTATTATTATATCATTTTTTTACGCGCTGATGTATTTGAAACACCCCGTACATGTTTTTTCTTAAACGATGAGACACCCTGTATGACACACATGTTATTTTTGTAATTCCACCGCGCTCTTATCTATCAAATGACTTTACTCGATGCTCATTCCATCCTTCTATGCGTCGATCACGTCGCACACGTCTCCTTCCCACTCACCACCGTAAGTACGTCCCCTAGAGAATACGTAATAGAAGCCCTGTATCCCCTCTACTATACCCTCATTTATGACTTGTTTCTTGTGGATTTTATAACTGAATGACGTGATAGGTGGTTCCCACGAAATGAAAAACGACATGATTGCTATCTAGCAAACAGAACTCACACTACCGCTTGTGACGTTTTTTCAGCTAAATTTAGTGAGTTTTCTTAATCTTCAAAATATGGTGGTTTTGAGTTGTGTCGGTTTTCTTCCGGACAAACGAACCATGAAAATGAAATCAGCTGATGATCAATCATCGGAATTTCACTGTAACATTACTTTTTATTAGTATTTTTTCCCTCTGAACCGTTCTACTGAAACGGTTTTATACCAAGCCGTAGAAAGATCACATATTTCCAAAAAAATAAAACTTGTTACGTTTCAATTTAGCACTAGATCAAACTGCTCTTACGTGACCTTTCAAAAACACTACCTTACCTTTTAAGATCTTTATTCAGAGGATATTAACAATGTAATTCAGTTACAAGTTCATTTTATTCATTTAACATCATAGTAATGGGAATCTTCCGTTCCATAGAAAACCATACCTGAAATGTACAAGGATAAATGTATGCTCCCTGACTAACTGCTTTGACCAGTACTTACGCATTCTCCTATTGCCAATCGACGTTGGAGATCCGAAATTCCTCGCTAGGTTGAAATAGTTGTTATTGTTTGTTTCTCAGTTTTCTTCACCTATCATTTTTTTTA